ACTTCCCCCCCCCCCCCCTAGAGTTCTTCTTTAAGGAGGTCAGCAATGACTGGCTTTCTTTTAAAGCATACATTTCCAGAGGTCAGAATATCAGCATTTCTACACCCTGGAAAAGGTGTTAACTGGACTTCTAAAACATGATCCAGACTGAAAGAGGGATGGGCCACCTCTGACATGCAAACCTTTACTAAGAATTATGGTAGAAACAGTTTAAGTTCCAAAGTCTTCCCTACCCTGCATTTGCATGTCAAACATTAATGGGGCTGTGAAAGCCTATATTCAATACTCGGTTTTCTTTGGACCACAATTAAGATGTTTCCACTAAGATATATCTTAGTTTACTTATTTTAATGAAAATACAATCTGCAGTACAATATGACACACATTTCACTTTTCATTACAAAACATTAATTATTTACAAATCAGTGTATCTTTTTTTTTTTTTGCAATGCCTTTATCCTTTATCTTAGATCTTTTGGAGTCTGTATTGTCTTCAGTCCAATTTGGCATTCCAAGGTAAATGGAGCAAGGTTACATTTATTTGTGAAACGCTTTGCCTGTTTCTCTGTGGAACACAGTAAATATTCTAAAAACAAGTAATACATTATTTTCATATACGTCTTGTAACTTGTCATTTTCCTCATTTCACCACTTAAACAAGAACTGTCTTTTGGGTGAAGGGCAGTGGGGTCAACAAGAATACATTTTAAAACATATTTTGGCGTTACGGTGAAGATCCAATAACATGAAGTTTCATCTGGATTCTCCCTTTGTTACTTGTAAGGCTGCATGTCAAAAGGTAGATTGATGCCCTAAATCCCCCTACATTCCTACACCCAAAACACTTTGATTTTTTTGTTTGTTTAGTGGAGAACTTAAAGTGACATTAAACCCTCAGATTTTTTAACATAAATAAGAATACTGTAATGTGCGCCTTACTGTAATCCATGTTTGTTTCCCTTCTATTTGCTGCTCTTCCTTTTAAATCTGTATCTGTTCTCATGTTGGGCAGAACTTCTGTTTTGCAGCAGACTGCCTTGTCTCTGGAATGGCTACATGGTGTCTGTGTATAGGCTTGCAACCTGAGCCAGCACTACAGGAAGAGGCAGTCAGCTGCAAAGGGAAGTTATCCCCAAGCATGAGAAGACATGAGGATTTAAAGGAAGAGCAGCAAAGAGAAGGGAAACAACCATGGATTACAGTAAGGTACACATTACAGTATTGTTTTATGTTAAAAAATCTGAGGGTTTAATGTCACTTTAAGGTGCCTTGGTACAGACCCATTGATATTTATATTATGGTCCCAAAATGACTGGCATTCCTGAGAATGTTCTCATATCATCAGCTAGTCAAACCAATTTCTGTGGCCAGAATAGAAACTGATCACATTTTCCAGTGCTTGGTCCATTTGGGGTCAGCATTGAATTCAAAATGATGAGCCCATTATGGATAACTAAAAATAACTGTAAAAAAAAATAGCAAAGGTTTTAGTATTATAGCTTATATTAATTCACTTGAGGTGCACTGTGATGGACCAGTAAAAGAAGCAACTTCAAAGAAACTTTCATTGAGTATAACTGTGATACACAAAGAGGAGCACAAAGTCAGTAGTGCTGCTTTATAAAAAACAAGCAAATGAAAAACATGCATGCCCGTCACAAACTGTAAGGCTTTCCTAATTTGAATTCTTGAATGTGGACTAGAAAATGAAACATGGACTAAAACAGGTTCCTGAATGAAACAACACCACTTTTAATTGTTTTGGTTTTCATAAATCACTGCCTGTAGTTTTAGAAATCCTTAAAGCAAACTGATCAGCCAAAAGGTGCTTGTTATACCCTTTATAAGCCAAAACAGCCACTTTCACCCCTATGAAACTGGTTTTAAGAAGGCTTTGACTTCTCTAGGCTACCACTGCCCACCATTCATTCTTCTGTTCAAACAAAGTAGCTCTGTGGCTAATACAGGCACACTCTTAATGGGCAGACAGTGTGAGTGGTGGGCAGGGCTGGACCCTGAGGTAAGGAAAGTCAAGTCTTTAGTATCAAAGTCCTGTCACACTTGAGTGTTCTGTTGTGGAGTGTTGATCCACATGCCTTAAGGCAAATGTTAACTTGTGTTAAAGAGGAACTTTATTTACAATCTACAAACAGATAATTATAGATAATTGCAGGCTTTTTATTCTTTACATACCTTTTTTTCCCAACCCCATTCTTCTCACAGTGGTCATTTGTTTACTAAGGGCAGGTTACTAGATCTCCCTTTACTTCCTGGAACTCTGGCACATGTGACTAGGAGATGTGACCATGCACATCATTTCAGGGGAGGAAAATGCCTTTCCCTGAGATCTCATAAGATCACAGATGAGATTTCCCAGCAATGCTCTGCTAATGTAACCTTCCCAGGATGCAACACTTGGGCACAATTACATCATTTGTGCCCAAGTGGACCAGGAAGTATAAAAAAAGAAATTGCAAGTAAAACAAAAATATATTGAATGTAAGATGATTTCATATCGGTATGCAAAGCTGCATGTTGATGTGATGTTTAGTCAAATGGGGTAGAGGTCAACTTTAAGGCAGCCTGTTAATCATAAATGGGCTGCCAATGCACAATATGTGCAATGTGGTGTGCTGTGTTTTGCATCTTACTGTACAGTGCATTGGGGTGCGACTTACAATGAATGACACCACACAAACAGGAGGTGCATTGCTATGGGCTGTGACAACGTGCTAGTGTGAATGGGCCCTCAAAGTTACCTGTAATGTCTACTCTTGGGCAGAACTGTTACCTTTTAATGAAAATCTGTACTAAAAAAATGTGGGCTGGGAAGATGCTAGAGGCATGGCTTATAGTGAAAAAGCTTAAAGCAAGCAAAATCAATGTCAGTCTTGGAGCCACTTGAGCAGCATGACAGCCAGGCAAATAGCATTTTCAAAAGAAGAGGTCAGCCTTCATTGATTTCTCTCAGTACACGTTTCCTATAGAAGACTAAAATGGCTGACAAGTTCACTTAAACTAAAACATAATTATAGTTTTATGTCTGGAATATTGTTGGCAGGAACGTCAGGCAGTGCTCCTGGTTCTTTCGTTATTACAACTGAATGATCAGTAATGGATGTGGAATGTTCTGCACAATTGTCACCAGACTTTTTCTCTTTTGGAATATACTTAACAACAGCATTAATAAATTTGCCCTTGAAATCCTTGCTGAGGAAATTATACAGGACTGGATTAGCCACGCAGTGAAGCATTGAAGTGCAGTCAATTATCTCATAGAAAAAATAAAGAATATGTGCAAAGCGACAGTTGACAAAGATGTAGGACCCATGCAGAGTCAGTATTATTACAGTGGCATGATAGGGCAGCCAGCTAAGTAAGAACGTCAATATGTAGGCATAAATAAGTCGACAGTGCCTTCGGCTTTCTGGTCTTCCAGATTTCTTAATGTGATAGGCAGTCATCAGATTGTAAACAAGGATTATGACAAAAGGTATCAGAAACCCAAGGACTGTTGTCATGAGAGTAACAGCAAGGGCCCATTCATCATAGGACTCAAACGGTGCCATAAACATGCACACAGGGTCTGAGGTATCAACCAACTGCATGTGGATAACATCTGGTATAGGAAAAATGGCAGATACCACCCAGATCCCAATACAAAGACCTTTTCTGATCTTTTGCTGGTTTTGACGCCAGAAAACTGAAGACGATGTTAAAGTCAAGTAGCGGTCCACACTTAGAGCAGTGAGAAAGTATATACTGCTGAACATATTGGCAAAATAGAAATAATGTGTAAATCGGCATAAAAATCCACCCCACAGCCATGTGTATTCCAGAAGTGCCTCCAGCATCCAGAAGGGCAAGGAAAGAACCACTCCGAGGTCTGCCACTGCCATGTTTAAAATGTAGAGATTAATGGAGCTCTTGCTTCTTCTTGATTGCCAGTTTACCCACACCACTAGCAAGTTTCCAGCCAGACCAAAAACAAATGTAAGAAGGTACAGAATAAAGAGGAAGATCTGTTTGACACCGTCATCTAGCTCAACCTCGCAGAGGGAGAATGAACTGTTGAAGTAGTACATAAGCTCTGTCCAGTTGTGGATATCTTCATATTGCTCATCTGATTCCAAACTTCCAATCTCTTCAGCCATTTCAAATAAAAGAGTACTTCTAAAAAAGAAACAAAATAATTAGGAAGTTCTTGAAAACTGCGGTAAGATTTCACCAACAGTAGGATATCATATCAGATTGTGAGTGTTGTTTGTCTAGGGAAGATTTTTTTTTTTTTAAAGTAATCTTTATGGAGCCTAGATAAACAGCAGAACCGTTCAATTAAATATACTAGTGACTATCTCTTTAAAATAAAGTTGAACTCTAAGCAAACAGCTAAATAGAGCATTAAAATATATCTATGTGAGCTGTTTTACCTGCCAAAAGATTTTTAATTTTGTCAAGCCAATCCTAAGATTTACTTTGCCATGCCCAACAGCACAGCCAGCGTAGTGACCCCATTTTTATCTATTGCATTTAAACAATAAAGCTAGGCCACCTACTAGTCCCCATCCTGAGAATGGACAATGAAAAGCAACAGCAGACTAAGAAATCATCTCTCTCTGCTCTCCTGCCATCATACTTGTAATTGGCACAGGGATAACAGAGGGCTTATATATAGACAATTTCGGGTACTTACACTATTCACATTTAAGAATGAATGTAGCAATTTGTTTAGTCAATACAATCGGCTTCATTAAATGTGGTTTTTTATCGAGCTGGAATTTATTTCTAAAGACCATTTTATTCATATATGTATGTATGTTATAAGGTTAATTTATTAACCTGTATTTGTGGGGGGGGCTATGACCATATAAACCCCACCTCTTCCCTTACCTGCCGGTTGTGTGAGAAGTGTTTGTTCCCACCCATTCCCTTTATTTCCAATTTCAATTCCATCACCCTTTTTTATTTGGTATACCCCTTTTAGGCGTACCCAAACAGCGTGGAAATGGGGACACTTCAGGCCACATTAGCTTATCGGGACAACTCAACCCATATTGGATTATCCATTATACAGTATTTTTTTCCCCCGACCACACACATATTTTTTTTATATATGTGTATATATATCTATATATATCTATATATATAGAT